ATCTAATCGAGGGGTTCAGATGGTTTATATATAGAATAATGGATACCCGGGAGGGAGTTACAGACTGGAATCTAATTCATACGTTGAACTTGATTTGTACAGGAAATCTTCGTAAAGGGAAATGTAAATGAGACAAATTCCAAATCCAGGGTGTCAATTTTGGAGACGTGGTACTGTGCCTGCAGCACTGCAGGCCTGTGCCTCACACTGAGAGTTGGTGCTAATTAATATAATGTAAGTTTCTCCAAGCTGAATAACCAGCTGCTGTGGAATATGTGCGGCACAGCAGGGTGCAGGTAGCTATGGGTGAACCAATTAGGGATTATTGTGGCCCTGCTGACGGCTTCCCACAACAATGCATTGCGTTCATTCCCTCCCTGTTTCTGGGACCTGACGTCTTGTTGTAAACTGTCACTTTCAATACGCGTTCTCTTATTTCTGGTTGCGAGGCTGCCTGTGACTCTGTGAAAGCCTGTGCGTGGTTGAGTCCTGATAACCTCACCACAATCTGAAGCAGCACTCCCAATGTGCATTACAGGAGTCCTGCAGCATCGCTAGAGCTGCCGCATTTCAGATGGGACATCAAGACAATGACTGCCCTCTGTGGTGTATCTGAAGAGGGGCTTTATTCTGGGACCCTGGCTATTCTTTCCCCCTTGATCACCATCGCTGAAGCAATTTCTCACTTTGCTGTTTTCAAGATCTTGCTGTGTGTAAATTGGTTGCTGCGATTTCTAGACTGGAGCAGTGACTGGTTTGTGCTAATGTGGCTGTCTCTGTGGTTTGAGCTCAATACCGTTCTGGCTTCATGGACTCTGTCTGCTATTTGGGATCAGTCCAATCTCTCAAGATTGTGTTACTGAGCTCGACTGTCCTTACTCTGACGCTGCTGCTTTATCTCGTTGGAAGAATGACAGTAGTCTAAATCTTAGGAGCTCTGTGAAACTCCTTGTTTACAAATTTGTGTACAAAATACTGATTGCAGAACTAGTTCGGGCTCCAGTTCCTTCTGGCACCTTAGTAGGAAATGATATCGTCAGTAACATTTGGGTGGCATGGTGGCTCAGTGGTTAGCACTGCTACCTCACAGCGCTTGGAACCTCGGTGCAATTTCCCTCCTTGGGTGACTGTCTGCATAGAGTTTGCATGTTCTGCCTGTGTCTGTATAGGTTTCCTCCCACAGTCTGAAGATGTGCAGGTTAGGTGGATTGGCTGTGCTAAATTGCCCAAAGTGTCCAGGGTTGTGTGGGTTAGCCATGGGAAATACAGACATAAGGTAGGGAGGAGGGTGGGACGATGCTCTTCAGATGGGCAGTGTGGAGTTGATAGGCCAACTGGCCTGCTTTCACACTGTAGGGATTCTATGATATTAATCCTCATTATTCTACGGTGATTACTTCATTGGCTATAACATCCTGTCGGTGACAGGTGCTACACAAATGCAAGTCATTCTCTCATAAGCTGTTGTAGCTGGACCCTCAGTCTCAGTGGGGAACCACCCGACGGGTCATGGTTCAAGAGAAATAATTCTTGATGCTCAGGTTTCTTATTCTGACCCCAGGCAGATGTCCACCCTGGCTCACTCAGAAATCAATTATCGCTGAGAGGTTTTTTTTCACATAGTGGTTGCTGGTACATTCCTGACTCCCACCCTTGGAATGAGTGAGGGTTATCAGGGTGAGGGGAGCCAGAAAGGGATCCTGACAAACCCTCCCCTTTCTTAAATGCACAACTTTTCGAAATGCAGCATTTGGAGTGTGAGTTCTTCAGTGTGACAGCTACACACTAGACTTAATGCTTTAGTATTCATGCGGCTTTGCAGAGATATAAAGTCAGACCCACAACACTTCGAAACATTCTCAGCAGCCACCTCATTCTTCGTGGATCCTATAATTCATTTCCTTTGTCAAATATTTACCCAGTTCCTTTAATACAGTCAAAATGTTATTGGATCTGATTCCTCTATCTGATTTCCTCTGGTCTCCTGAAGCAGGGACCGTCTGGTCTCCTGACGCAGGGAAT